CCCCTGATACATGATATTCCACATAGGTCCTTTTCAGGTTTTTTTTCCAGTTTAATATCAAGTGTTTTTGAAAACATTTAAACAGAGTACTGAAAATAATACCATTATTTGAACCTTAGATGCACCACACACACACACACACACACACACACACACACTTTTCAGTTCACAAGGTAGTGCTTATTGCAATTATGCACAAACTTATTTACTTCATGAAGTCTTATGATAAACAAAATGCAAAATGTTTTAACATCAAAACCATGAAAATAATCAGAAACCAACATATTAAGCAACTAAACTGAACTAGTAAACAAACAAGTAAATAACTTGTGACTAATTGTGCTGTTTGGTTAATACCGAACCTGTTTTGATGCAGCCAGGGGGAAAAAGGTAGTCACAGAAAAACTTAGTATTGCACCAGATAAGCCAGTAATACTCAGGCACATTGCGGTCGTGTATTAACACGACAAAGCACGCTAGACTTCATTCTCCCTGCCACGATGGTCTCACGGAAGAGAATAAGAAACAGAAGTATCTCATTGACATCAGTGCACGTTGCTACATAACACACTTTATCTGTCACTTTCATGACATTTGTCATTTCTTATTGAAATGCGTTGTAAACTTTAGTCTGGGAGCTGTTGATTGAGTTTATCCTAAGAGATCTGTCTACCACAGGTTCAACAAATTTGATGCAACAAATGACCTCCAGAACATGTGGAATGAATTAAACTAAATTTCAAGTTTGCTACAATACAGTACAGGGGGTGAAAAATCCTCCAGTCTTTATATTTTTATTAAAAAACATTTCCTTCATTAATTTTTATCGTTAAGAGGAAGCTAATAGAATGAACAAGGGGTTAGAATGACCTTAAAAGTCTCCTTTTCAGAGTATCTCATACAGAAAGGCTCCTATCTTTTGTTAAAAGAAATCAGCTTCCTTTGTGTATTTCGTATTTTGCTGTGCAGTAGTTCCATGCCTCAAAGTACAGTGAAGAAAAAACTAATATGAAGGGGGAAAAAAAAAACCCAACAGATCATTAAGTCAAGATAACAGCAAACAAATGGACATATGAATATATAAACCTTCTTGGTCAATCCTCTCTCCATTTATTTCTCAAAATATGTTAAAGCCCTACTTTTCAAATTTATTAAACAAAGAAACTTTGTTAAATCAAATCCTTATCATATTTGTTAAATATTAGTTGATTGTAGTCTCCTGGTTTATGAATTAAAATAAAAGATAGCTTAGTTAGTTCAAGGTAGCATTGCAAATGTGAGCTTTAAAAGTTTAATGTTCATTTTAAAATCTCTTTGAAAGTGATCTTAAAACTCCTTGCAATGGCACTTTCAGCTTGTGGGTGGATTTGTGTTGACATGAAACGCATGAATATCATTCATAAAACAAAATGAGATCCATAAAGAGAAACATTTAAAAACAAGTTCTGAGTGCTTTGCTTTCTTTTGCAATTGTTTTTTGCAATAAATAATTTAAGTGTGTAATAAAATGTTCCCACTCTTCAAGGACTATTATTATCTCCTTTGTTTTGTCATATCTCTGATCAAAGATTTATGGCTTCAGACCTTAGGGGGTGGAATGTTTTCTGCTCAGGTTTTCATGTCATCTCCTTCCTGCCCGTTTTTTCAAAAAGTAAATTTCATAATTGAATTGCATAATTGCATTCAGGAGAAGCAAAGGAGTCAGTTACTAAATTGGGGGAAAAACAACTGATTATTAATGTAATATCATAGTGAAGAATTTCAAAGTAAACCTGAAGGGGAATTTTAATTCGTAGATGCTGCCATGGTAATACAACTTTAAACGAGCTTTTATGTTGCTTTCAATGCCACATTTCAACTATCAAATAATAAAACATCAGTTTTCTGAAATGTTGTATTTATTCTATGCAATTACAATGTGTGAAGTTGTTTTGGGTGCATGTGTGTGTACATGCTAGCTGCACATTAAAATCAGAATTTTAACATTAGCCTGATGTGAGATCACAAGTATGGCTATGAGTTTTTCCTCCTAAAAAGTTTAGTGCAGCTTTTATCTCCCTTAATACTTAATTTCCCCCTATGGAAGGTCTTTATCGTGAGGACAAATGGTTCGGAAGCCCCAGAAAAGTCCTACAGAGATTTTTCATCCTAACCATAGCTCTATGCTTCAAGCCTAAAATATTTATAAAAACTTGAATATGACTGCTGTTTCAAGGGACATCTTTTTGCTCACTGTTCACCAGTACTATGATTTCATATCTAAACATAATGCTAACAACTAAAAAACTTACATCTAAAATCAATGGTTTCTTCTAACTTTTGTGCGGATCAAATGATGAATTGACATGGACTTTTACAAAATAAATACCTAGACTGTTCTTGTAGAATCTGGGTCGTGGATTTTTCCAGCAAACAACGCGATTAAGTAGTGAAACATACATTTAAAACCATGTACTTGTTCTATGGCCCACAGTCTTCAGAAACCTGTTGAGAACTGAGGTAAATCTAACCATTTCTTAATGAAGAAGAAGCCTCTTCTGCAGCAAAAGCTTTTAAAATGTGACCATTAATAGTAAGTATTCTGCTGCAAAGTCAATTCGTATGTCTTTTTGTTTGTTTGTTTTTGGTTTTTGTTTTTTTGAGACAGGGTCTCCTGTGTAGTTGAGACTGCCCTGGAACTCACTATGTAGCCCAGGCTTGTCTTGAACTCACAGGGATCCTCCTGCCTCAGCCTCCCGAGTGCTGGGATTACAGGCGTGCGCCACCATGCCCAGCCAAGACTCGATTGGATGAGTGCTGTTATTTTGGGTGAGGTAAGATGGTGTTTGGGATTCATAAGAAGAAACGTTGGAACTGATCATTTTCTGTGAGCTGGTACAGTGGACGCTCTCAAAATCGGAGTGGAATTCATCTGGGCCGTGTAACTGACAACTGGGTTGTTCATTCCCAAACTTCTCACTGTATCGACTGTCAGAACCAAGTCTGCCAGCAAACCATTGACTTGTTCTCTTCGCTCCTGAAGAGCACTTGGGAAGACTGCGTCATGACTGTTGATGGAGCCAATTGACTTCTGGAGCTAAGTTGGCGCCTGCACCTGTGGAAACATTTGTGGAACCATGGACTTCCGGGGTTACTGAACTTCCAAAGGGGTGGTCACATTAGATCAGGAGATATTAGATATCGGACAGAGGGTGTTTCCTCTAAGATTACGTTGGTGATGGTCAGTAGGGCTTACACTGTGGCATCTGAAGTTGCTGCTAGCAGATGAATTAGTTCCTTTATCAACAAGAGAGAAGAGAATGCAAACCTTTCCTGTTTGCCAGTGTTATTTACAGTGACGCCGCGATGCTGCACAGGTGAGATGTGATCAGTTACCAGAATGACTGGATGGAGGCTGATAAGGCTGTCCAGGCACAGCAGAAACACGAGATTTCTAGAAACTACCTTCTACTAGCTCCTGGTAGCATGGGGCAATGTTGTGGCTAGAAACCAATGAATTACTAACCCTGCTGTACCCACTTTTCACCCATTCAAGCTTTGTCTTATCAGAGTGTGTGGCTAGAAGTCTTTGTACCTGTTCGGCAGAGCTGTGTGAGACAGTACTGGCGTCGGGATACACCACATCGGAGCTTATCAGGAGGAGCGCAGAGGGATTCCCACATTCAGCGGGGCTGGGAGAGATGCTACTGCGGACAGCAGGATGTGCAGTGCCAACGGGTGTTAGGCCTGCTACTTCCTGAAGAAGCGTCCACAGATGGAGTCTGGGCTCGCCTGGGGCAAGGGCTCTCCCGCGACAGGTGCCGGGGCCCGGCACTCATTCACATGTTGGGGTCGGAGTTGCTATGGGGTTGGAGGGGTGGATGTGAGTGTCACTGCTGTGGATCACATGACAGCAGTGGGCCTGGGAGGCGTGGTGTGGGGGCTCCAAGACTGACTGAGTCCCTCTGCGCGTGTCTATATGTAAACATAAATTCAGACATATTGTAGAAATATTCTCTCCTACCATGCTACACATAGTAAGAGCAGTGTACCTTGTTTACGATTTTAACATTCCAGTAAAGATTTCCAAACTGCCTGACCATGTGGCAGAGCTCAAGGCCCAGTCCTTACCCCGGGAAGTAGGCATTAGCTTTGTCACTTTCCTTCGCTGCACCTCAGTTTGTTTCACCTGTAAAATACAAGGTTTGACTTGCAATGACTTGCATAGATTAGAATCCCTTCTTTGACTTGCAATGACTTGCATAGATTAGAATCCCTTCAAGTCATAGGTTTCTATGACAAAAATCTATAAAATCACAGAATAGCGAACTGAAAAGTTTTCAGAGATGCAAATTATCCAGACATGGAACAAAACATTTCTCCTACCCTGGCTTTGCATAATGTTGAAAAGATTCAAAGGGGAAGGGGAATGGCGGGTGGGGGTGGGCAAAAGGATAGTAAGAAAGAAGAAATGAGAAAAGAAGGAAAAAGGGAAACAAAGCTTTTGCAAATAGGGAGGGGTGGAGGGGTGAAAGACAAGGGAATAGGAAAACAAAAACAAACAAACAAACAAAAACCCACAAAAAGACAAGAGCCGAGATATATCATGTACAAGTTCAAATTCCCAATGATGCATGGGATCATAACACAGACCTAAAAGGTACCAATGAACTTACGGGGAAAAATAGAAGAGTCACCAGAGAGTGCACATGGTGAATCTTTTAGATGAATTATAACTAATTACGTCCGGTCCATCCTGGAACCTCTCATTTGTCAAGCCTACCTGTTCTTGTATTACGCAGGCCATGCGGACCTGAACCTTCCATGGCTTCCACCCACCTTCCATGGCCGCCTACAGAAGGAGCTTTCCTGGGAAGGAGAGGAGCAGAGGACGGAGCAGCAAGGTGGGATGGTGACACGGGGGACACTTATGAGCCCCTTACCTTGCTGCCACCACCATAGGTCCTGGTGATGCGCTACAGAAGTGATAGCTGATACTTACTGAGCAGGTACTCTGTACATGGTACTTACATTGTCCCATCAAATCCTCATAGCTACTCTGTGAGCTGGGTAATGTGATTATTCTCTTCTCCTTGATGGGGAAATGGAAGTTCTAGAGCAGAGGTTGGCCCCTTACAGTCGGTGGACTAAGTCCAGCAACTCTGCTGGGCATGCGAATAAAGTATTCTTGGAACACAGTTGTACTTCTTCGTCTGCAGCCGTTTCGATGCCACAGTGGCAGAGCTAAGTCCTTGCGACAGACACCATGTGGCTGCTGAGCCTGAGATACTTGCGATTTGATCCTTTACAGAAAAGGTTTGCTGCCGCCCACCTTGCTTATAGGATCTTTTCAGAAAAAGGCGGGGCTGGGCTGTGACCCCGGGCAGTTGGACAGCCGCCTGTTTGTACCCCGCGCTTGTCCTCTTGGTGGCAGCACTGGCTTCGTGAGCGTCAGACTATACAGCCACACAGAGCTGGGTGTGCAAGGACCCCAACCTCGGCTTAATGCTCTGCTTCACTGGTGTGGGATGCTCAACTTTCTTTAGACCAAGGGCGCTGCATTTCCATTTTACACCGGAAATCATATAAGTAATTCTGCTTACAATTGCAGCCACTCCTTTTTTCCCCCCTCCCAATATTGGGGCATGAGCCCAAGGCTCTCACGCTGAGCAACTCCACTGGCCCTTTTATTGTGAGACAGGGTCGGTCAACTCACTACATTTCCAGACTGGGCTCGAGCTTCCAGTCCTCCTCCCTCAGCCTCTCCGAGCGCTGGGATGGCAGAGGTGAACCACCACAGCCACTGAACAGCCATGCTCACCGAGGAGCTGACTGAAGACCGGCCCCTCGGCCTCCCGGCACCTTCATGTAGTCACCAGCTGGGGTCTGGCCCATGGGCCATCGGGGGCCCTGGCTGCTACACCTCTTTCCTCGGCTCCCATCCCAAAGACAAGCCGAGGTCTTTGCCTCCCCCTTGCTACTCTAGTGAGTTTACACATAGGCATCAGGTGAGAGATGAGAGGAGAGGATTTGGTTGTGATCGGGAGGGGCCTATATATCTTTGCTTAGATCCATTTCTTCTTTCTTTACTCAGATCTATGTTAGAGGGCTCTCAGGCAGCTCAGTCCCTTAAATATACCACTTAAAACACTGCTACCTGATTAGCTTCTCGTTTTTTGTTTTTGTTTTTTTTTTTGATACCAGGGATTGAACTCCGGTCTTTGCGCTTGCAAGGCGGGCCACCAAACCGCTGAGCTAAATTCCCTGCCCCGCTTCTTGTTTTTTAGAATGAGGACCTGATGATATGCTCTCCCATTATGTCTTTGCCCATGAGCAGGACTTGATTGTCAACCACCGTTTCTTTGCTCTTGCCCTTTTCTCCTCCTCAACCACCATCTTCCTGGTACTTGTCACAACCTCTCTGAACAGTTTGCCTCCTTCAACTGCCTGTCCCTGGGAACTGCTAGGTTGGTATAAGCCCCAAGGACAGTGGGGCTGCTGCTTAGTGTTTCATAGGTTTTTTTTTTCCATTGTGCAAATCCAGCGTTGCAACTCACAGACTCTATGTGCATGGAGCCTGGAGGTTGGGTCATGGAGAGGTTGACTGCCCCTCTCTAGCTTCATCCCAGCCTATGACAAAGACCTGGAAATGCCAGAAGACAGAGGCTGGAGTGGTGGTACCCTCCAAAGTCACGTCCTCTAATGACTCCCATGCCTGAGAGGAACCTGGGATGCTTATCTAAAAGAGAACTAAGAAGTTTCTTGAAACATCCAAAGGGATGAATCAGATTTCTTGTCAAAGGCATAACTAGGATTAGTGGGCACACACTCCACAGAGCTAGATTTTGGAAGTATTTCTGACCATCGATTGTCTTTAGAAATGCAAGTGGCTGTTATCTTGGAAGCTGTGGGTTCCCGGTCCTGGAGGTGTCTGAGCAGAAGTAGGGAGATCACGAAGGGGGAGAAGACCCAAGATGGGAAGTTGTTTGAAGAGCCCTGAACCTCTGTGGGAGTTTTACTTCTGTTACCATCAGTGAAAGAGGCCTGATCACAACTGTAGGGAAAACTGGGGGGCAGGCAGGGAAATTTAAAAAGCCCCAGTGAAGTTTCTGGTAAATAAACAGTTAAACTTCTGCTAGAGAGAGAGTAGCTGAGAAAAACATAAAGAGCTGATAAGGCTGCCTGTCTGGCTCACTTCATGCCAAGGCTCCATTCCCTCCTCCCTCCATCTCCATTTAAGCACAAAAGAAACAAAGTGGGGGAGGACTATATTATAAAAACTCACTTGTTATATAAGGTGTGCGCTAACTCCTAAACACTCACATCCATATATATGACATCATCCATATCATAGCCATATCGTACACACCCATGTACATATATCAGAGACCTCTGCAGTAGGTTCTGGTCTCCCACTCAGTGCTACCATGCAAGGCTGAGGAAAACAACAACAACAACAACAATAACAACAACAACAACAACAACAACAACAACAAACTAAAAGACAGAACAAAGAGAGGAGAAACTAGGGAACCAGGACGGCTAATGCTGCTTAATCAGCAAAGGCACTGAGTAGTCCTAGCCACTGATTTTTATTGGTAATCAATTGGGGTAAAGGCAAGCTGCATGTGAGGATGGAGCATGTGAGGATGTGCAGTTGTGAATTTCTATGGAAACTAATGCAGGCAAAATGTGTAAAGGAAAAAGACAAAGCACTCTCGAATCAGGAACAGGATAGACAAAACATAGAGTTATTATTAAATCCTTGTCTTTCTAGTCAGGAAGTTTTGAACTGTGGGAATGGAATTTGGGTGCGAGTTACTCTGACCTGGGCACATAGGCTTCTGTCAGACTCACTTCTATAAACAACCAATGTTAGGGTTAACTCTTCACAGCCTGCGTTGCTTACAGCCTGCTTTGGGCATAATCAGTAAAGTTGTCCCCCACATACATGTATATTTTATTATTATTACCATATTAATACACTAAAGTGCACATGTATCCTTCCACTAGCTCGGCCTTGAATGTGACTCTGCAGTAAATCTCACAAGATAAACACCTGGACAGCACAAAGGGACCAAAGACGTGCTTATCCAAAATGTACACACAGCTGCCGGAAGGGGCAATGCCAAACCAGGGGCCTCAGAGCCCAGAACAGCAGATCGAGTTGTGACAGCTCTCAAGGGGGAAAGCCCCTTCCTCATCAGGTAATAAAGGAAACAGAGACCCAAGACACCGGTTGCCAGCTCTGGGTTCTCTTCCTTCCTCCAGCAAGGCAGCTATTTACTTCCTTTCCTTTTCCCAATAAAGTGATTTTGCTTCCCCATTTCCCTTCCCATTACAGTAAAGTGATCTGAACTTACATCTCTAACTCTTTTATTGATGTAGGTTTTTTTATGAACCCTAGGTAGAAATCTACCCTCGTGAGATGTAGCACAACCACCGTGCTGGCCTCCCTTGGTGGCTGTGAGGACTGAAGGTTCAGGAAGATGACACTCACCAACATAAAGGTAGGAGCACTGTCAACGGTTTAGCCCTGCGACAAAAACACTGAGCTCCGCTCTCAGAGCCCATAAAGCGACCTCCTCCACCTCCATTCTCATAAGCAGGGATGCCAACATTACCACCAGGGGGCGTGAGAGGTGGTGAAAGATGGGAGAGAATGGGCTTGGAATAGGTCCCCTGCTTCCCGGCTACACCTTCCTCGTGTACTCAGTTGGTCCCGTGAGCCCCTTAGGACTTACCTGCTCAGGGCACAGAGGCCAGGTCTGGGCAGGGCACTGCAGCCAGCCTCTGCTCCTGTGTCTGCACCCAGCCTGAATCTTCTGCTTGTGAACTACAAGTGGGAAAAGGTCAGCAGGTGCCCTCACAGACCTTTCTTTCTTCGCCATTGCCACCCGTCGCTCTTCGGTGCCTGCTGGCTTCTCTTCAGGGTGCTCCTCATTTACCTCCATGGTACCCGAAGCTCACCTTTCTTGCTCTTCTCCCAGGTGTCTTCCTCGTGTGGTTCTCTCCCAGGGCATCTGGCTCTTTTATGCAGGGGACGAGTCTGGGGAAGGGGTCAAAAATCTGAAGTCTGTGGATTTGTGATGACTCTGGAGGGCTCCAGTGACCTTTGACCCCACAGGTCTCGGGAGGGGCGCAGACAAAAGGACAGGAGGGAGAGGTGACGGACAGAAGTCCCTTCTGGACAGGAAGGGGTCGTCACGTAAACCTTTCTGGCCCTGGCGCCCATGGAAGTGAACAGGGACAGAGGTCCCATCGCCCCCCTGAAAGCATCATGGTGCTATCCAGCAGGCTCACGGGGCAGGGAAGTGGGTCATGGGGTGGGGTCGCCCTACCTGGACGAGCAATGTGTGAGCCTCTGCTGTTGAAAGCTGCAGGGTGGGCTTCTGGGCCAGGGGCTTGGGAACCACAGCTGGGCTCAGGGTCAGGCTTCAGCTTCAGTCAGAGCTTAGGCAGCTGGAGTGAGCCAAGAGGACCAGCGGGTGCCCAGCCAGGGGAACAGAGCACTAATTCACGGGCCACAGTCCTCAGCAGCTGCCTTGACAAGAGCCCAGTCAGCTCCACTCCTAAACAGCAGAGAGCAGCAAAATCCAAGGAGGAACCCCAAGCTTCCCTCTGTGGGTGGCCCCCAGCAACAAATGCCAGCATGGGCAGGGCAAAAGGGAAGGAAGGAAAATACTAAATAGGGAAGTGAAATTTATGTTGGCAATAATTTCTTAAAATGACATTTTATTAAATCAGAAGAGACAGAAACACAGACACCAAATCACTGATGCTAAGTGTGCTGCCCCTATATCCCCCCACCCCATTTTATGGATCTTTCAAGAAACAGCATGGAATATCTGTCTAAACTAAAGAAGCGCTATGATTCTTATATACTTGGGCTTAGCGTATGAAATTTTGCTACCCCACCACATTTTAGAAAGGGCCTGGTCTCCCCCTGGAAAGAGCCCACTGGGTGTACGGCTCTCCAGCTCTGGCTTGCCTCCTTCCTTGCTTGCTCTTTTCATATCTTAATCAACGTTAGGTTTCATGGCAGTCTAGAGGGAGATTTGGATGTGTCCCACCAGCCTTCCTATGAACCCCTTGATGCCTCCCCCGTGCATCTAGGGCAAGCTCAGCACTACCCTTCCCAGAGAGTTTCTTGCTCCTGTCCCACCTGACTCCACCCCATTCTCCAACCAGTGCCCCTCCTGGCTAGCTTCCCTGGAATTAGGTATCTGCATTTTGTAATCTGGTCCATCATCTGACATTGTCCTCTTGAAATATCACTTACCTTTTCTCATATCATAGCTAATCTTTGGTGTAGTAGTGCATACTGAACAGAATGGAATGTTAATACAATTCCTTATCTGAGTTAGCAATGGGAAAGTTTTGGAGCTAAGCCCTCCCAGACCCTAATTAGGCTCAAGTATCTTCATAAAAATCAGGTTATATTTTGCACTCAATAAATTCACACTTTAAAGCACACAGTTCAGTGGTTTGTAGTGTATCCTCCAAGTTGTACAATGAACACAGCAGTCTAACTTCTGAATGCTTTCATTACCTCCAAGAGAAACCTGTTATCATTCATCTCCGCCCCACCTCCCAGCTCTATGGATTTGCCTGTCAGAGCACTTGGCATTGAATGGTTTCTTAAAATATGTGGTCTTCTGTGTTTGGATTCTTTCACTGCACAAAACGTTTTCACGATTCATTTAAGCTGCAGCATGCATAATTACTTTACCCCTTTTTTTAACTTGAAAAATATTGCATTGTGTGGATGTACCACACTTTATCCATTATCAGCCACTTTTTGACTATGAAGAATGATGTTCTGAATATTCATTTTTGTCTTTATGTAAATGTATCCTTTCAGTTATCTTAGATGTATACTTAGTAACGGAACGTTAGGTCATGTGGTAAATCTGTATTTTCATTTTTTAATAGGCTGCCAACTGCTTTACAAATGGTTGTACCATTTTACATTCTTATTAGTAGAGGATGAAGGTTCCAATTTTCCCCCATCCTCTTCAACATGTTTCACTGTCTATCTTTTTGATTGTGGCCATTCTAGAGGGCATTTCCCCAATGAGTAATGATTTTGAGTATCTTTCACATGTGTCTCCTTGGAGAAATGTCTAAATCCTTTGCCCGTTTCAAACTTGCATTATTTCTCTTTAAATTATTGAGTTGTGTTGTTTAGATATCAGATATCTCTGTTCTCCCCCTACTGGTTTCCATGTTGCCAGTTTTCACTGTAAATAAGGGCTGCCATTTTTCAAGTTTACCAGAGGCTGGAGAAAGAGTGACAAAATTAGGCAAGTTAAGATGTTACACAATGGAATCGGGGATTTAGCTCAGTGGTTCTGCTGCCTGCCTCACAAGCACAAGGTGCCAAGTTTGATCCCTGGTACCAAAACAAAAAGGCTACAGCATTTACTCTCACCATGACTCAGCTATTTTTATTGAACACGTGCATCTAGAGTTTGGAAAAAAAGTGCTTCTGACAATTTTTGCCATTTTTCGTTACTTTTATGCAGAGATTTTGGAGGTCCTTACTTCCCCATTTTTGCTGATGAGTCCTGTAGAACTTACAGGTTTTGAAGTTTTCTCACTCTCAAATTTAGCTGTTTCTAAAGTTTTATGTATTTAATTTATGATTGATGATAATCTGGGGCCCAATAATACAATGACAAAATGCATATTTTAGTGTGATCAGCAACATGAAACTTTATGATACCGCAACTTTAGGTAAAACTCAACTTTTATCTACATTTTTTTCATGGATGAATTTCAACTCATAGAAATTGCATGTGATTTACATAATAAATATTTTCAAATGATGAGCAAGATTGTATAGCTATGCATAGATTACAAATGAATGTCACAGTATCACTCAAGAGTTATTTAAGAAAGTTATCCACTAGTCTTTGAGCAGTGGTTAAAAATGCACAGGGAAAGCTTCCAACCAAGCCGAACTATAGGGAATTAGAAAATATGACTTATTATAAATCAGTACAAGTGAAGAAATATAATAGCTATTATACATATATGAAAAACTAACTCACTAAATGATTGTGGTATCAATTTACAAATATCATAGATGAGCACAGTGTTCTTGACAGATATACAGAACTAGTACGGATGACTTTTAAGGAAAATAACCCATGGGTGGATTCTTGGGTGGAGAAGTTCAACCTGTGAGAGAGGCAGCAATCATATATGTGATGAGCAGTAATTTCTGAGACAGAGGGAAAGGAACTCTTAAAAGAAAGTATTGAAAGCTTGAACTAGATGATTCAAAGATGGAGAATCATTTATCAACTCAATATTTAAAACCGTATGTTTTCGATATATTTTTCTGTGCCATAACCACGTCCTTGGCAGACCATAGCCTTAAGGGGTTAAAGAGTTCAGTCTGGCAGAATTTAAGACTTTGCCACCTTATCAGTTCAGTCTTAACACTCATGTCCTGGGAGTGGGCAGAGGGGAGGAAGGGGTGTTGTGTTTTCCACTTTCCGGCATGTTCTCTTTTTCGCTGAAGGGGCTTCTTTTGCGTGCCTTTCCTCTCTGGTGTATAATCAGGAGCTCTTTTTAAACTTCAGGAACACACGACAAGACCTTCCATGCTGTCCCTCGCTGTTCTTTACTTGGGCAGCTGTTCTAGCACAAGCCTCTGACTCTGCAGAGCACCAAGCATCCAAACAGGATACGACACGTCCATCTCACTTTCCTGAGGGCACCTTCCAGTCTCCCTGAGTGTTTTACTTGGTTTGAGCGGCAAGGAAAATAAACCCTCTTCACTGGGGAAAAAAAGAGCCATAAATATTTCCACAAAGATATCAAGCCCAGGGAATTTCTTCCTTAGAAAAAGTTTCTAGGAGTCCAGGCAGTCTTTATGCAGTCTTACTGGAATGGCCAGTGGGGGTCTTTGGACTGGTTCTGCTGTCTTTCCGTAAGCTGGAAGCACACCAGGCAAGCCGGGGTGCTTCTGTAGAATGTCGGGATACTGTGGAGAGGCAGCGTGATGGGATTAGCTTCTCGGTGCTCAAGCAGCAAAAGCTGCAAAGCCATACTCTTAAGTGAAATAAATAGGACACACAGTAAGTACCGAGTGGTTTTTCTGGTGTGAATGAGGACCAAAAGGCATAATAAATAGTGTAAAATAGGAAGAAAAGATCCAAAAGGGAAAAGGAAGTAAGGAGCAGGCTGGGGCGGGGGGAGGAAAAAAGGGAAAGAAAAAAATATAGAAAAGAAGTTTTTGTAAATAGGGAGGGGTGACCGAGTGCGAGGGAAGGAAAGGGAATGTGGAAAAAACAAGAACCAAGACGTCATGTCCAGGTACGAGTTCCCAGTGATGAGTGTGACCATATTATATATGTAAAATGTACCAATAAACTTAATGAAAAAAAAAGCTACAAAACCTATCGCCTAGAAATTGCCAAGTTTTCTGCCCCCTGGGGCCTCAGCAGAATCGCCATCCACCCTCCAAAGTCTGCTGAACTCTTCACAGGCTGTGTAT